TAGTGGTGCAGATACAGGTTTGAAGAACTTTTGCAACGTTTCATCCTCCTCTGATTTGCCCAATTTTAAAGCTAAATATTTTCTTCTTATAGCCTTGGCGATTTCATTGATTTTATTTTTGCGAACAACATCGACCTCTTTGCTGAGTGGTTTCATGTTGACAAATAGGCTCTTTCACATTGAGTTCATACTTTTATGAACTTGTCAAAGCCTTGACGATAGCGACCTACGTTCAGGTCGTGATCCTTGACGATAACCATTGCACCATATCTTTCACTCCAACAATCCGCACAAGTTCGCTTGAATTGATCGAATGTCATGTCGGGTGAGACATGTTCATCAAACACATGCTTCAAATTCACCTCATCCTGCTTTGAGAGCACCACTAGGTTAGTGTTGTCGCGCAGCATTTGTTTAGGGGCCTCACTGTACGTCTGTCCTATTTATATAGCATCGATACCCCGATGGCGGCACATGGAATAATACTCCTGAATTTTTTGTTGTGAATCGCAGGATATGTCATCGAAAATGGAAATGGAATTTGGTTTCGCTTCATTGGGGCCCATAATTTCCTCATCAGCTTTGAATGGAAAAAATTCAACACCTTTGACCATTCTCAGTATCTTCTCAAGCAACTGGTATTTGGAATGATACAGAGACTTTGAGTACACGTATACGTTTTCAAATTCAGCGCCATTGGGATGGAACAGCAATGACAGTGCGGCATTCGTTTTTCCACATCCACTTGGACCGCAAATAATTGCGCGAAATGAGTGTGGTAACAGGACACCATGTTTACTTGGATCAATTCCGCTGTCATTCAAATAGTCCAAGTTTTCGATTGGCAGCGTGTTTTTCTGTTGAACGACTCTCATGATGTGTGTGACAATTCACAGAGTGGGCTTTCATAAATAGGGGTGAATTGTCGCATCAGTGCTCATTCTTAATGCTGATCTACCAAGGTGAAGGTATAGTCAATACACTCATCAATAAACTGCCATCCGAATTACATCTTCCCGGTTACTCGTATTATGGTCCAGGAACCAAATTGCAAGAGCGACTAGAACGTGAAGATATAGGCATAAACCCCTTGGACGAAGCCTGTGAAGAGCACGATATCGCATACTCTCAGAACGGCACTTTGGAAGAACGACATAAGGCAGATCGGGTGTTGGAAAATAAAGCTTGGGAACGAGTCAAATCGAAAGACGCTGAAATTGGTGAGAAAGCTGCCGCTTGGCTCGTCACCACCGGTATGAAGACAAAACGTAAACTCGGCATGGGGGTATCGCAGCAGCAGCAGCAGCAGCACCCGTTCTCTAAAATCGTGAAAAATGTGCTGAATGTTATGAAAAAAACGTTTGACGGCAATGCTGACAGTGGTAGGCATCAAGGTGGTGGTTTGAGTAGATCATCCGTAGCAGCTTTGCATGCAGCTCGTAAGGCAATAAGAAAAGTCGGAGGTCGGAAAAAGATTCAAATTCCCAGAATGATACCTTTGCCTGCGACAGAAAAAAGTGGTGGATTCCTACCATTGATACCCCTATTTGCAGGCCTATCGGCTCTGGGATCGTTGGCTGGGGGAGCAAGCGCTATCGCAAAAACAGTAATCGATACCAAGAATGCGAGGAGAAAAATGGAAGAGGATAAACGTCACAATCAAGCCATGGAGCATTTGGGTTTCGGTGTCTATCTACATAAAACACGTAAGGGATATGGGTTTGTGAAGGGTTAAAGGTACCCTTGACTTTATTCGGGCACTTGAAGCGGGTTCTACAATTATTTACAAGAAATGTTAACTCGGGTGCCACCTATATTATAGTGGTAGGTCCACTTGCACTGGGCAGCTTTCAGTGAAGAAACGGTAATCCAGGGGTCTGATATATATCTCTCAAAATGATAAGTTGATCTCAATAACTTGTTTGATTTTTCCCGGATTACCAACTGCTCTGTTATAAAACAAAAATGAAACTCAATATCAACTAACTTGATTTATTCCTTAACTCGACTACACAATCATCCAGTGAATCTACTATCCTAAATATGATTTAGGTTCCTATGGCTCTTTCCCAGTGTATGTACAAATTTACCCCAAGAAACCAGAAATCATTACCTTCTGTTGACGCGGAATGCAAAATGCATTTTTCAATGAAAAATCTACACATTGAATACAATCAAGCAATAAGCACGCAATCTAATTATCGACACAGGCAGAGTTAAAAAAGCATCTCTAGTACAAAGCCTCTAGCTCTCCAGCTCAAATCAAACTTTTATTTTCAAGCACAAGCAGTTAATACTAAAATAAAAGCGCAGTTGCAGTGCTTCGGTTGACTCCGACAGGTAATCTCCTTTTTTCCGATGCACTTGGCAACACCGTCCTATCACGAGCGTGGCCCAGTAATAGAGCCGTGCTGTACAATTGGATCGAAGATTCCCAGAACTCCCGTACTCTGATTCATTCGGCAACACCGTTCTACTACGAGCGTAGCCCAGTAATAGAGCCGTGCTGTACAGTTGAAAAGTGTGTTTAAAGTTTAAAAGTGTTTTTAACCGCCAGCTTAGTTGCAAAGCAACCCTCGAAAGTCAGAGACTTGTGTGAGTTAAGAAGACGGGGACCTTAGCTTTTTAAGTGTCATCCGAAGCACTACTCGGCTGGTAACCGTGGACAGTCCAAAGGATTGATATCTAGGTACCAAGAATGTTGGGTTGGCCACCTATCTCCTCCCGCCCAACGAAACTACCGAAAATTAATTCAGTGCTCGCGCCGGGGATCGAACCCGGACCGCCTGGGCGACAGCCAGCGACTCTACGCTCACGGCCACCAGCCCAGTTGAATCGAAGCCTCTAAGTCCTACCGCCCCTTAATCCATCCGGCAACACCGTCCTATCACGAGCGTAGCCCAGTAATGAAGCCGTGCTGTTCAGCTGAATAAAAGTTTCCAAGATCTCCGGTTTTCCAATGCATCCGGCAACACCGTCCTATTACGAGCGTTGCCCAGAAATAGAACCGTGCTGATAAACTGAATTGGATATCCGGAATCTTCGGAATTTCAATTCATCCGGCAACACCGTCTTATCACGAGCGTAGCCCAGTAATAAAGCCGTGCTGTTCAACTAAATTGGAACTCACGAGATCTAAGCAAACTCAAGAACGGCGGTATCCGTTCTTGCAACCTACAAAAGCAGCACTGTTATCGTTTGCATATCAAGCGGACTCACCTAAGTAAGTATATTATTATTCTTCAATCACTTGCGGTATCAAGCGGATCGTTCTAGCAGTTTCTATTTTATTCCCCAGCGTGTACAGCGGTATATGCGGTCAGCAACAACTAACTTTTCTTGGTTCCTATCGACGGAGCTCGCCTCGGGTTCCCACTCTCACCCGAGAGTGGGGCGAAAATTGCGCTATCGCGCAGCCGACCGCCGTCCGTGAGTCTCGACTATGCTTCGGATGTCTCTATTTCGCTATCATTCAATTACTGATTATTCCAACCTATCAAAATTCTAATTCGCGCTCACGAACAAATTGCAGTATTACTCCCGGAGAAATAAATGATTCAGTTACGAAAAAGAACGGCGCCGATAGCTTGTCATTTACTCAAGTTAATATCATCAGAGTTATTCTCTATACTGAGTATACAGGATGTCTCCCCTGAGGGTAATCAAATCTGAGTAACTTCGTTACAGGTTGTACTTGAAGAAGAGAGGAGGTGGTGGTGGAGGTAGCTGCGGAGCTGGATTATTCTTGGAGAAGCAAAAAAACTGATATCTAAGCTACCCAATAGAGCCTTATATGATGGAGAGATTGTAAAATATGCCAAACAACTGAAAATACCATATTTTCGGGGAGTTTTCATGCGAGACAATCTACCTACCCGCCCATGGCGTCGTCGTGAGTGTGCTGTAATGAATTTAGATTCCTCCATCAATCCCGGTACCCATTGGGTAGCTTTTAAAAAACATGGAAATATTGTCCATTATTTCGATTCGTATGGCTGTCTAAAACCGCCGAAGGAATTGGCCGAATATTTCGGAAATAACGTGCAGATATTCTATAATAATGATGTCTATCAGAAAAACAATCAAATCAATTGTGGTCATCTATGTTTAGCATTTCTATTGACTTCAACATTGAAATGATAGTAAAACAACACCCAACTATTTGAATTATGCATACCTCTACACTCTAGCATCAGTCATGTCTTTGATATTGACACTGAAGAGTCGTTGAAGAACGATTTTTCGCCTCCGATTCCATTAGATCTCGATTCTGAATATGGTTTAGTTCTACTCAGTTTCCATTCGTACAATAGCGTGCCCAACATCGAGGAAGGTACAAAGTTCTATTATTTCGAAAACGGCGACAAAAAACGGCGAAAAAGCATTGATATTCCAACTGGAGCTTACGAAATTGACGATATCGAAAAGCTGATCAGAAAACATCTTGTACCGCCACCTTCTTCAAAAAATATGCCATCACAATCGCAGAAGCCTGAAGACCTTTGCTATCTCAAACCGAATGATAATACTTTGAAAAGTGGAATTTTCTGTAAGCATCATGTGATCGATTTCACTCAGAACAATAGTTTGGCAAACATATTGGGGTTTTCGTCTAGAATCTTGGAAAATGACATTCATCATGTGTCCGATCAACCTGTGAATATTGACGCCGTTCCTGGATACGCCATTGACGAAACACCGAATCATCTCATTTATTTACCGATCGCCGCCCATACAAACGAAATCTACAACATCACGCTCAAAGTGCTCGATTAAAACTTCCAACTGGTCAATTTCCGAAACGAAGAAGTCATCATTATATTGGAACTGAAGAAACTATGGTCCTAAGTGTTTATAAGAGTCGCACTCCTGTATCTGCTCCTTCAGTCTTCAAGAAGACATTCATCAGCCGCCACACTCGTCCACTCAGTCCGCAAAATATAGCATTTCTCAAGTCACTCGGCTATCATGTTATCCTCTCAAGTGTTCAACATATTCAGAAAGCCTCACATCGACGAATCCATACAGAAGGTCGAATGGAGAACATACTACCCTTACGTCAAGTCCTTTCGCAATAACGATGTCATAGAAATCAACATCAATCAGTCTGATGCTTTTGATGCTCTCTATGAAAGTATTTTGCACATCAGCGGAAAAGTTACAAGAACTGAAGGTGTTGGACGTGTAGGTTTCGTCAATAATGCTGGTGCCTATATGTTTCAATCCATCAGTTATGATCAGAATGGAAAGGAATTGGAATCGGTACGTGATGTTGGAACGGTTAGCACTGTTAGAGGCTATTTGTGCTACAGTGCTGAAGATACGAAACAATTGGCTATAGCAGGTTGGACCTACCCCAATAACGTCGATGTCATGAATGCAGCATGCAGCAAGTTTAGCATTCAGCATGTTTATTCCACTGAAGCATCTGCTGAATATTTTCAACGATTATGAGTGCGTCTCCTATGGTAAACATTCTATTCGTTTGGTGCGAGCTGGAAACGATAATAACTGCTTCAAGATCACCGAAACTGCTGCCGGCGGAGCTATTGTGCCCACAAAAGTACAACTGGACATTGAAAACGTGTAACTCAGAGTGGAAAGACTATTCCCGAACGATCAGATAAAATTGCAACTTTTGAAGGCAATGAAAGCTGACACTCCCATTCTGATACCATTCAGAAAATGGGAATTACATATGTTGCCTTCTCTGACGACAGGTGCCACCAATGAAATATGGTCTGTGAAAACTTCTTCTTTTCTCGAAAGCCCTCGATATGTCATCGTTTGCTCTCAAACGGATCATGATCTGACTAAAGTTAATACTGATCCTAGGATCTTCAATCACGCAAACATAACGAATATCACATTTACTCTCAATGGAGAAAGTTATCCAAAGGAGAAGATGCAGTAAGCCTTCAATGAAGGAGCCTTTCCGCAGGCGTACTTCAATTATACGCAATTTGGATTCAGCTATAAAATCACCACCCTACATAGTCCACTCCTGGGTTACCCCGAATTTGCCAATAATCAACCTCTCTTCGTTATCGATTGCTCGCGACGGGACGAAAGTGTCAAAAGCTCCACTGTCGATGTCAAACTCGGAATTTAAGCATCTGAAGGATTTCCTGCCAACACTCGAGCCTATTGCATCATCGTTCACGATAATATCATTGAGCACCTTCCACTCAGTGAAATTATTAAAAAGTGGAATTGAATTTCAGTTTCCCAGTCAGTTTGAGTTCAACCAGCATCATGAGAGTAGCGTTCATTGACATTCAAGGGTTCATTATCAACCATGAATTCCGCCCCAAGGAAATTGCTATAAAAATTGGAGTTCAATGTACTAATTATTTGCTACTTCCGCACAAATCCTTCTCCTCTCTCAGCAAAGAAGACCGATGCGGCGTTTGTTTCTTGGAGAAAAACATTCATGGACTAAGATATTCTTCTGGTTTGGTAGCATACAATTTGCTCGATGATATCCTTCAGGATAAGCTGAATGACATCGATATCATTTATGTGCGAGGACACCAAAAGAAGGAGTTTCTGGAAGACAAACTAGCAACATTCAATGTACATGCAAAAGTCGTGAATTTGGAGCAATATGACGATTCCTGGTACAACGTTCCAATTTTCGAACACAACAACACCATCACATCCTGCATGCATCACCTTCGTCGGGAATCCTTCAATTGCAGCCTCCGCAACGTTGATATTTTATACAAATGGTTCGATAATTTGATACCTGAATGATGTTACTGAATTATTTAATAAAAAAAAAACAACTTTTTCACCGATAATTTTATTTCATTTTTCCATCCTCGATTCCGTCAAACGTCATCTGTCAAAAGTCATACGTCATATGTTGAACATCATACGCCATCGCCAAAACGGCAATTATGTATTACGTAGCCCCCCGAATTATTCTGACGTCCGACAACGTAGCACACCGAGTATTTCCAACGTCTGGCAACCCTGTCCCATCGCTCGCTAGCACCCGCTAGCAGTCTGTGCCTGTGCCACTGCCAATCTCTGTATCATTCTCACAACTCGTAAACTTTCCCGTCTAGTGGTGTGGCGCGATGATAGCGCTTCGGGCTCACAGCCCGTCGGTCGGGGTTCGAATCCTCGCGCAGAGCACACCCGACCAGCTTTTTTTCAATACCAAATATTCATTCCATCGAAATCACCATCCATTACTCGAAATCGCCACCATCATCCAATATTTGAATTTGTCACCATCCAATATTTGAATTTGCCGCCGCCCAGTACAGAGCGCAGCCACAGCGACACTAGAGCCACTAGCGACACCAGTGAGTGTTTTTTGAACCCTTGAATTAGAAGCCTTGTTGTCTTAACTACTTCACATTGAAACTATCGAAGCAGACGAGTTTCCGATGACCATATGAGACAATTTTCAAGCAGGTAAAACGCACACAACTTGCACAACATAAAACTCCGACTTCGACTTTGTTAACACTGTAACTCTGCCGTCAAGCATCTGACATGCATACAGTTGAAGCAGATACGATTGCAGTGACCGTGAAAGATGACTTTGAAGGGTATATAACCAGTTCAATAGGCAAATGAAGATACATCGACTTCATCGTTGTGCACTTTATATCTCTCTATCCTATCATCTCACATGGACACTATCGAAGCAGACAAGTTCGCAATGACCATACGAGACGACTTACAAGCAGGTATAACGCACACAGCTTGCAGAACAAGAAACTTCGACGTCGACTATGTTTCCATTGTCACTCTGCAGTCTAGCATCTGACATGCATACAGTTGCAGCAGATATGATCGTAGTGACAGAATAAGATGTCTTTAAAGGGTATATATCAAGTACAATAGGCAGATGAAGATACATCGACTTCATCGGTGTGCACACTCTATATCTCTATCCTATCAACTAACATTGATACTATTGAAGCATACGAGTTCCCGATGACCATATGAGACGACTTCCAAGCGAATAAAACGCGCACAACTTGCACAACAAGAAACTCCGACTTCGACTTCGTTCACACTGTAACTCTGCCGTCAAGCATCTGATATGAATACAGTTGAAGCAGATACGATGGCAGTGACCGTATAGACGACTTTGAACGGTATATAATGAGTTCAATAGGCGAATGAAGTTACATCGACTCCATCTGTGCACCCTCTATATCTATCCTATCATCTCACATGGATACTATTGAAGCAAACGAGTTCGCAATGCCCATATGAGATGACTTCTAAGCGTGTATAACGAACACAACTTGCAGAACAAGAAACTTCGACTTCGACTTTGTTTACACATAAACTCTGCAGTCAAGCTTCTGACATGCATACAGTTGGAGCAGATATGATCGCAGTGACCATATAGGACGACTTTGGAGGGTATATAGAAAGTACAATAGGCAGATAGAGATACATCGACTTCATCGAAGTGCACACTCTATCTCCCTATCCTATCATCTCACATGGACACCATTGAAACAGAAAAGTTCGCATTGACCATATAAGATGACTCTCAAGCGGGTATATCGCACACAGCTTGCAGAACAAAAAACTTCGACTTTGACTATATCCACACTGTAACTCTGCAGTCTCGAATCGAACATGCATACAGTTGATGCAGATACGATTGCATTGACCATATAATACGACTCTAGAGGGTATATAGCGAGTGAGTACATCAGGCAAATGGGGAAACATGGACTTCATCGTCGTACACACTATATCTCTCTATCCTTCCATCTCACATGGACACAATTGAAGCAGACAAGTTCGCATTGACCATATGAGACGACTTTCAGGCGGGTATAACGCACACAGCTTGCAGAACAAGAAACATCGACTTCGACTATGTTTACATTGTAACTCTGCAGTCTTGCATCTGACAAGCATCAAATAACTCTTACAATTGTGGTCATTTGTGTCTGAAATTTCTATATAAAGAGTACTTTACATAACATTTCTGTAGTTCATTTCAAACATGTCGATAGCATTTTCGCTTTCTGGAAAATATTCGGTTCTCAGCTCTGATTTCAATCCCGCCATTCATTTGGATGAAAATAGCGAATATGGAATAGGTCCCACCAGTTTTGAAACTTTCAATGTAATTCCCAACGTTGATGAATCTAATAACCAATTTGTTTTTGGCCTCAATAACAACTCTGTGACATTTCCAACGGGATCTTATGAGATAAGTGATCTTCAAGAAATGATTTCTTCTAGAGTTGAACATATAGACAAAGACGCGAAAATCAACATTATTCCAAATTTCAATACATTGACTGTAGATATTGACACTAATAGGAGAATCAGTTTCGTGAAAGATTCAACCATTCGTGAGGTACTTGGATTCAGTAATCGAATTCTGGAAGCTGATGAAATCCATTCATCTGATACTACAGTCAACATTTTGAGTGTCAATGCAATCAGTATATATTGCAATATAGCCACACAAAGTTTCCATAACGGACAAGAAAATCATTCGCTCTACATGTTCAGCCCTGTAGTGCCACCAGGATACAAAATAATTGTGACTGTGGACTCAATAATTCATTTCAAGATAAGCGTACGGACTATCGATAACATTACGATTGAAATTTTGGATCAAGCTGGAAGACTTGTCAATTTCCGGGAGGAGACAGTAACTGTGAGCCTTCACTTGAAGAAACTTGAATAATGGTTGTCATGTATAATAGAATACCCATTTGTTATAAGGTACCCAAAACTTTCCGAAAACCCACCAGTGTGAAGAAAAATATCAAGAGACTAACACGTGCCAACCGCCTTTTTCTGAAGTCTCTAGGGTTCACAGTTCTAGTATAATGGATATTTTGGATGTTCATCAAAAATCAATAGTAGATGATACAATCATTGAAAAAGAATATCATACATACCAACCATACCAGCAAAAATTTGAGTACAATGATGAGATAAGAATAAATTTGTCAGATTTTGATAATCTCTCTTTGCCTAGCCAAAGTTACCTCTACATTGAAGGTAATTTGAAGCAATCGGATGAAACTGCAGTCAATAAACTCAGATTCATCAATAATGCAATAAACTTTCTCTTCAGAGAAATCAGATACGAACTGAATGGTGTGACCATTGATTCGGTCAGGAATGTTGGACTAACTTCAACGATGAAAGCATATTTGTCATACAATGCTAATGAGAGTGTAGAGTTTCAAAATGCAGGTTGGTTCCCAAAACTGAATTTCAAAGTGAAAGATGAAAGAGTACCAGTCGATGCTCGAGGCAATTTCAGCGTCGTCATACCACTGTCCTTCATCATGGGATTCTTTGAGGACTATCGTAGAGTTATTCTGAACATGAAACAAGAGTTGGTGCTTATTCGTAACAATGATGATACCGATTGTGTATATACCGATGATGGAAAAAAAGCCGCTAAAATCCATATCGATAAAATATACTGGAGGATTCCCCACTTACAGATAGGTATAGCCCAGCAATAACAATATACTAAAATCATAGAAAAGAATGAAGATATTCAATTGGCATTCCGTAGTTGGGAGATTATTGAATTTTCTAAATTACCAATGACAACTCGCCACTTTTTCC